TCAGTTAAGAGTATTGCCTTTACAAGCATTTTTTATTCAGTAATTTTACCCCATTTGCCAAAAATTAGACTATTTTGACATTTTTTCGAGAAATCCCGGGGTGGATAGAAGGTTGAATGGTTGAACTATTATGTATGACTCTCAACAGTCTCAACTAAGCATATAGCCTTTCGAAAAAAATTTATTTAACAGTTTAACCACATTCAGCCCCTTATTCATTCAGATTTTTTGTGAAAAACGTGTCAATATTGTTTAATTTATGGTGAATGGGGTAAAACGAATAAATAAAAAATGCTTGCACAGGCAGTACTCTTAGTAGAGGCAGATAGAAACATTTTGAGAGCAATTAAAGCACTTTTCAAATTTTGGTTCCGACACAAAAAATGCTTGCAATATATCATCGTAAGTTCAGAAAGACCGCGTTTAAGCCATATCTCGAATTTCGTTGAAAAACACAAATACCCGGTCACGTGGCCGAATTTCCCATACCGGAAGTAACAAAATTGGCGACAGAAGAATATTGCAAAGGGATTTTTTAAGGTTATATACGTTAAGAAGCATACTATTTATTTGCCAGCAAAAAACAAAAAATCCATCTATAAGCACTTTACTTTGAATTTGACAGGTTACAGGACAGCTCCCATCACCCTCCTCTTTCTACAAATAGCAAACAAAAAAACACGACGTGCCACTTTTTGCAGTCAGATGAGGGACTATCTGTTAATGCTTGAGGCAAATGGAGACGTTCTTTCAGGAATTGAACTAGTGGAAGTGAATTCAATATTATGTAATATTGAACCTAATAACCATGATACAAAAAATTACAGAGGCATGATAATCTCATATGTAGAGCGGAAAATTTAAATGGTCCGTAGATTGGTTAAAAATTTATATAATTTGATTAAAATCTAATTGAAATAATTCCAGGCGAAAGATTTAAACATTTATATTGTAAATTAGAACAATTTAAGTTTTGCTTCAATGACGTTAGTACACTGAACGGATGTACAACATGTTAGCATCGGAATTTTATATGCAGGTACGGCAATCTGAACGCAAACAAAGACAACTGAGCAGCGCATTAAACTATCCTGTTGCCTCGCGCACGATACATGCGACTTCCTACTCAGTCCCACGTACTCTGATTTGGCTTGTATGGTCCGCGTTGCAATTTCCGAATCTTTATTACGTGCACGTGGTAAACAAAAAACGGCCGTCAACAAATTATTTATTTAGTTTTAAGAAATTATTTTGCAAGTTATAAAACTAATTTTAAAAATCTGATGTGTTCAACACATGACTTTTCTATCTAGTTATTACAGGCTTTTTTCGGTTATTTTGTACAACATATTGTAGCACGTTTGTAAATGTTTAGACGATAAACTAAATATATATATATTTTCCACATCCTTCTACCTCTAAACATTTTTTATATATATTCATTGCCAACGAAAATACTGAAAAAAATTTTTTTTACACTTTTCCACTAATTTTTCCATTACGATCCATTTTAGACAAATCATGATATCGCAAAAATTTTTTTTTAAAAATCAGAATTTTGCATACTTTGTTGAATTTCTTGATTACGGACCATCTTAGGAAAATTTTGTATAAAATAAAAATTATAGAGAATAATATTAGAAGTAACTTTTATTTGAAGAATTTTCTTTTTCAAACGTAAATAACAGATATATTCCATAAAATATAAAAATGACCCCTATAAAGTACCCCCCTAGATGTTTCGCTCTACCAAAAATCTTATCAGGTCACCGCAGACCAGAATAAAAGTTAAGTTTAAAATTTGGTATTTTTCTCTTTATCCGTTTTTGAGTTTTCTTCAAAATTCGAAAATTACATATTTTCTTAAATATCTCGAATACGGTCCATTTTACAGAACTTGTGTATTCAACAAGAATTATAGAAAATAATATAACAAACAACTTTTATTTGAACATTTTTTATAAAAATTTGATTTTTGTACATTTTGTCAAATGTCTCGAATACGGACCATTTTAGGAAAATTTTGTATAAAACAAAAATAATAGAGAATAATATTAGAAGTATCGTTCCGTGTACACCGTTCGATGTGAGTAGGCACGGGGTCACATAAAATCTGTGGTGTATGATAACGAAGTTAACACAGAATATGAGTTGCGAAATCACATATAGGCTGTCGCTGAGGTAATCCAACTACAACCTGGTTTGGGCCGTACGTGTGGAAACACATGGATTCGACGAGCTCAACTCTCTATTGAAAACCACGGAAATTACTTTAAGCAGTTATTGTGATAAATTTAATTTATTTTCAATTTTAGTAAATTTAGATTATTTTAAAATAAATTGTTATCTCCGGAACTAAAAATATTTTATTAAACTCTTTTTAATATTAATCATTATTTATCCTCAGCTATCATTCCCCAAATTTATGTGTAAAGGTTAAGGGTCGGTAGTGTAGCGGTCTAACGCGTTTATATTCATTTATAGGCAAGTTTATGAGTCTGAGACTGCTGGGCTTCGAATCCCAGACCGGACCATGTAATTTTTAATTAAATTGCATGGTTCGGTTTAGGATTTGATGTGTGCCGTATTAATAGAAATTCAATTTCTGTTGATATGACATGCAGATTAAAAAATTGCCATGCATTACCGTCTCGATGATGGTGGGTGAGGTTTTCCGGGTTTTCCTCACCTGTAAATCAAATGGCACCATCAATCATCTTTAAGTCGCCCCGGAGCGCCATGGCAAATAATAATAATAGCCGTCCCTTCCCCTACACAAGCCGTTCAGTCGACTTCAGGGGTTGAAATTCACTCGTAACGGGGTGAATTAGGGAGAGTATTATTATTATTATTATTATTATTATTATTATTATTATTATTATTATTATTATTATTATTATTATTATTATTATTATTATTATTATTATTATTATTATTATTATTATTATTATTATTATTATTATTATTATTATTATTATTATTATTATTATTATTATTATTATTATTATTATTATTATTATTATTATTATTATTATTATTATTATTATTATTATTATTATTATTATTATTATTATTATTATTATTATTATTATTATTATTATTATTATTATTATTATTATTATTATTATTATTATTATTATTATTATTATTATTATTATTATTATTATTATTATTATTATTATTATTATTATTATTATTATTATTATTATTATTATTATTATTATTATTATTATTATTATTATTATTATTATTATTATTATTATTATTATTATTATTATTATTATTATTATTATTATTATTATTATTATTATTATTATTATTATTATTATTATTATTATTATTATTATTATTATTATTATTATTATTATTATTATTATTATTATTATTATTATTATTATTATTATTATTATTATTATTATTATTATTATTATTATTATTATTATTATTATTATTATTATTATTATTATTATTATTATTATTATTATTATTATTATTATTATTATTATTATTATTATTATTATTATTATTATTATTATTATTATTATTATTATTATTATTATTATTATTATTATTATTATTATTATTATTATTATTATTATTATTATTATTATTATTATTATTATTATTATTATTATTATTATTATTATTATTATTATTATTATTATTATTATTATTATTATTATTATTATTATTATTATTATTATTATTATTATTATTATTATTATTATTATTATTATTATTATTATTATTATTATTATTATTATTATTATTATTATTATTATTATTATTATTATTATTATTATTATTATTATTATTATTATTATTATTATTATTATTATTATTATTATTATTATTATTATTATTATTATTATTATTATTATTATTATTATTATTATTATTATTATTATTATTATTATTATTATTATTATTATTATTATTATTATTATTATTATTATTATTATTATTATTATTATTATTATTATTATTATTATTATTATTATTATTATTATTATTATTATTATTATTATTATTATTATTATTATTATTATTATTATTATTATTATTATTATTATTATTATTATTATTATTATTATTATTATTATTATTATTATTATTATTATTATTATTATTATTATTATTATTATTATTATTATTATTATTATTATTATTATTATTATTATTATTATTATTATTATTATTATTATTATTATTATTATTATTATTATTATTATTATTATTATTATTATTATTATTATTATTATTATTATTATTATTATTATTATTATTATTATTATTATTATTATTATTATTATTATTATTATTATTATTATTATTATTATTATTATTATTATTATTATTATTATTATTATTATTATTATTATTATTATTATTATTATTATTATTATTATTATTATTATTATTATTATTATTATTATTATTATTATTATTATTATTATTATTATTATTATTATTATTATTATTATTATTATTATTATTAATTATTATTATTATTATTATTATTATTATTAATTATTATTATTATTATTAAAATTAATTATTTTTGTGTAGAATCGATAAATAATAGCATTTCTTTTGAAATCGCAAATCTGGAGGTGGTGGTGAGGAGACGACATCTGTTTTCCAGTCAAGAGACCCGAGTTCAAATCTCGGCTGGAGACTATAAAATTAAATAACTTTTTATCTTTATTTTATTTTATAAATTGATAAAAGTCATAAATTCTTTTAACCTTAGTTATTTTGTCTTAATAATCTGAAATAATTTTTTAAATTTGTAGATTTTCGTTAGTGGGTCTTAAAAAAATATACTCGAGTGGATTGTCCATATCGCACTCAGGCAATTGAGCATTCCGCCTACGGCGTCGCGCTCAAACTTCGTTTTCGTGTGATACGGTTTCATATCCACTCTTTTTGTATAAACTACTATTATCCATTACGTTTTTTATGCATTTTCTAATTTAGATTTATATTTTTTTTTCTAGGATTCGCATTGCAGTGCTGGAAATGCCATTCAGAATTCGATGTTACATGTCGAGACTACTTCAATGTTACAAGGATTCAACAAAATAGGAGATATTTTGATAACTTTAATTATGCAGGCAACAGACAAATTCAAAATCCTAGGAACGAACCTCATTTAGAGCATTGCGATGAAAGTTTTGCTCATACTTACAATCAGAAAACAGTGTGCATAAAAAGGGTTTACAGAGGTAAGATTTGATTGACAAATAAGAAGAGTAAGTTGTAACTTATTCGTTTATTGCTAAACTTCCTGAATGAAATATGTTTTTTTTACAAGATATTAGTACTGTACAACTTTTATAAAATACTCTGAAATCATGATTTACGTCAACCAAGTGCCGTAGCCAGAGGGAGAACATAGGGACAACCTTAAAATTCCAATTCCTTACTTTAAAATGCCAATGCCCTACCTTAACAATATCCAGTCGTTATTGCACATTACATCACACCATTTTTTTTTATTTATTTACTCGTATGTATGCCTATTTAGATCCGTTCTCTTCACGTTCTCTACTGTCCTTTCTTCTTTGTAATCTTTTATTTATTATGAATTGCGTAAGTGACAACTAGGTAATACATAAATCAGTATAAATAAGTATTTGTGAGATTAACATTTACATTGTAAACACATTAACATGTTGATTTAAAGACGTTTTCATTTCCTGTCAAATCAACTTTATTCATATAGTATGGGATGAATAATTTGTATCCTGACCTATAGTGGGCTATACGATTGTAATCATTTATTTATTTTTTTATTTAATATTATGTCATTAGTTATTCTGTGAAATGTTGTAAGTTTGTGACCAGTGGCTTGTTTGTATTTTTGACAGCCCCCTATACCAATCAAGTTTCAAGTTTTTTGAATAATAGAGAAACTCGAAGCTCTAATAAAATATTTTCAAGAGTAATACCACAAGAGGTGAGAATTTTCTGAGAACACTTTGTTAATTATTTTGAAATTATGCGTCTAAATTTCACGAAACACGATCCTCCTTAAAATACGGGGCGATTTTGTTGAGTGAAATGTGCATAATTTATAAGGTAACAACAAAATATTTGTATAAAAAATGTTTACGTCGCGTGGTATTTGGAAAGATTATTTTATAATATACAAAAACAGTACTTTTATAAACAACATTTGCTTTGTTTCCGTGAAATGAAGTCGATCTTATAAGTATTTAAAACGTACATTTCAACAACCAAAACGATTTTTGTCCATTTTTTGTCACCTTTTTGACAAACTTCACGGCGACATTTTGCATAATAAATCATTGTTATGTTACTTTGGTAATTAATTAAAATTTTTTAAATCCAACTTTTTTGACAAACTTCATATTGACGTTTCGAATAAATCATTGATGTGTTTCTTTAGTTATGAATTGAATTTTTTAAATCCAATCGAAGCATGCACTATTTTCAGATACAGTTTGTTTTGATTGACCTGTATTGGTATAGAAGATGATTGCCCTTGGTATTACATTAGTACCTATTAAATAATCACATTAAGAGTGTCTCAAGGAAATTGAAACTATTGAATTCTACTTTAGGGTTGTCAAAACATGGGTTGTAGATTTTCAAGAAATGACGAAAAATATTATGGTCCTTAAAGTCCATAAAATTGTTTTGAGTGACATTTGATTGAAGTTAGTAGAGGTAGCTGAAGCTGTGGAGATTTCAAAAGATCAAACGTGTTACATATGCAATATTTTGGACATCAGGAAGCTCTTCTCAAGATGGGTGCCGCGATTGGTCATTGGAGCAAAACTCATTCGTATGAACGTTTCCTAATAGTGTTTGTTGCTATTTAAAATATTTATTAGCATTTTTATAACTATGGACGAGACTTAGGTTCACCATTACACACCGTATTTAAGGCATGTAGTATGAGTATGAATAGAGCGATATTCGAGAAAAGCTACAACTTGAACAAGAATAAACTCATTCCACAATACAGTTAGATACAGATCTAGCAGTTACAAGTTATGACATTCCTAATAATATAGCTCAAATTGGAAAATTATTTATCGACAAAAAGGGAAACGTATTATCTCTTTGCAACAGTGACTACATTCGGCTGCAGGACTGCTTCTTGCGAATCTATCTTTTAAACGTTAACTGTGATAAATAAGATTTAAAGAATGGTATTGGTTCACGAGAAAATTGCAGGTCTGGTGTTCCATTTAGTTTAATTGATTTTGTTGGAATTTGTCTAAAGATATTTAAACACCTGTGTCATCTCATTTAATTAAAAAATATTATAATACGACATAAACGCTTATTTACAAATATTGTCCATGTCAAACTACTGTCGACCCTCTCTTTACCCACGTCTTTGACCACCCCATACTTTCGACCCAACTTTATTGTTGTACCAATTTCGGATGCCCTACCTAAAAATCGATTCTGGCTACGGTCCCGTGTCAAACTTTTAAGAAAATACTTACTTATCTTTTATATGGCGTAAATATTTTCTTGATTTTTACGCTGCTTTGACTTTAGCAAATTTACTTGAAAAAGTACCCTTTGTGACTGTTTTAGAGAAAATATCGTATGTTTGACACTGTCTTGTAATTGGTTTTTGAGAATGTGGCGAGAGAGGTTACCAGATTGGTGAGTGTTGTAACAAACTATTAAATAAGCGTTTATATCGATTGAGACAGATCTGCAAGTGGAAGAGGGTCAGCACTTGTATTTAAATTACTCAAGATTTTCCATGAGTGAAATATTACCTTGTGCGCTCTTAGATATGCTGCAGGTGTTCATAGCATGTTTTTCTTGGAACATTGAAATTGTTAAATTGTATTTTTTCACTTGCCAGGGTTGGCTTTGAAGTAAATCTATTATATGTAATTGAAATAAAAAAAATTAAATTAGGTAATGCAGATTGAATAATAAAATATATTGTTATTCTTATGTTTACTATACATTATTAATACGAGGTGCATCATAAAAAAAGTAACAGAAGTATGTGTTAAAAAATGATTGTCAATTTTAAATAAATTTTAGTAGATCGCCTTCTTTCACGCGTTTTTCACCTTTTTGTAGTGCAGTTACCGTCATAAAAACCTGGATCTTTTTTTCTGTCAATCGGTCTTCATGTTACGGCGCAGCGTAATTTTTTTCCTTTTTCCTTGTCTTTTTCTTTAGCTATATGATCTCAGTGTTTCACTAGCACTATCTGAGGCCTGCATGGCTTGCCAAGAAGCGCGCGTTAGGGCTCTTATGGCCGATTTTTGTAAACTAAACTTTTTTAAAAACGAAACATTGGTATTGGGTAGATAGTGATAAAATAAGCCAATACAACAATAGAAGAAGACAAGGAAAACAGAACAATTTTATGCTGACGCCGTAACCTTAGACAGATTGCCGAAATGACAAATTTACAGTTTCCTTTGAATAAAATCCTGCTTCTATTACTTGCTATGTAAAGTGATAGCAGTGCTCCGCAACCTTTCCTCATCTGAGGCACACCAAACTGCTCCCTAGAATTTCGTGGCACACCAAAATCTAAAATATATTTATAGCAGTGGCGTAGCTAGGTCGGGGGTCAGTTCACTCCATGTATACTAATTATTTATGGATGTCCAAACTACCTTAGTTTTTTTTATTGTTTTAAAATGTGAAGAAGCCCCTTTCAGATTTGGGGCATCAAAATTTTCACTCAGGACATAATACATATTTTTTTTTTATTTTTTTTTATTATTCAGATAGAATGAAAAATACAAATAGGTACATACATGAGAACTATACTAAATACTAGGTAGGACAGGTAGGTATACTAAATTTACTTCTGTTGACACGTCAATAGTAATAAATATTTTGACATGATGATGACTGATTAATGTGATACCTGCGCTTGCTTCGTTGAACACAAAAGTTTTATATTCGGCTCAATTTTAGACAGCGCAACTCTCATTTCTTGGTCAAGATCTTTTAAGCATGACCGTTTATCATTTTTAATTAATACAAGCGTTGAAAAACTTTGCTCACATAAATATGTTGTGGAAAACGGAAGTAGTGTGAAGATGGCCTTGTCGGTGATGCGTGGATATTCTGTCTTGATGGAAATCCAGAAAACATCTAACGGAACTTCGTCGAATTTAAGTTTTAGGGTCATATCATTACTTAATTCTGTGAACTCCTCTCGAGTTTGCAATGGCAGTGCTTCCGTGGAACTTATTGCATTGGTTGCGAAAGGATTTCGAATCCAATTGTATTGTTGCGTGTTGATAGAATGGAAATAGTATTCAAATTTTTGTTGAAGCATACTTAAATGTTGTTGGGCCAAATCCACAATCAACTGCTTGTTTTCGATCGTACTGTGGTTGGTCCTGTGATACATTTCTAGACATCCTTTTTGCAACTGTTCCTGCCAAAGTTCAAGTTTCTTTTTGAACCCTTGTAATTTATCGGAGCACGTCAATATATTTTCATTCCGTCCTTGCATTTTTTTATTAAGTTTATTCAGATGTTCGAATATATCCGCCATGTATGCAAGTTTGGCTATCCAGTATTCATCATGAAGGTGCTGGCATAGATCGTACATATCTTGACTTGAAAGAAACTCGCGCACTTCGTAGCGAAGTTCAAACAGTCGAGCTAAAACTTTTCCCCGGGATAACCAACGAACTTCTGTATAAAACAGTAAGGATTCATGTTCGCTTCCCATTTCTTCACAGAGTATTCCAAAGATTCGCGAATTTAAGGCTCTCGATTTAATTATGTTTATGATCTTAATACATTCATTCATTGTGATCGAAAGCTGTTCGGGCAAATTTTTGACCATCAATGCTTCTCGATGTATGCAGCAATGTGTAATTTGTATTGACGGATTTTTTTGTTTTACACAAGATACAAAACCTTTCTTACTGCCCATCATTGCAGCAGCACCATCTGTACAAATAGCAACGCAATTGGTCCACTGAATATTATGTATTTTAAAAAAATTATCAGTTACTTGGAAAATTTGTTCACCGGTAGTTCTCTCTGGAACCTCCTTACAAAATAAATAATGTTCTTTAATAGAGTCCTCGTCAACGAAACGTACAATAGCCATCAGTTGTGCTTTATTTTTAATATCGGTTGATTCGTCGATTTGAAGCGCAAAAATTCCAGCCGAAATGATTTTTTTAATTAGTGTTCCCAAAATATCACTTGACATATCTTGGATACGTCTTTTAACAGTATCGGCCGACAAAGAAACTTTACTCACGTCCTTAACTTCGTTTGGCCCAAGCATAAGTCTAACAATTTCCATGCATGCTGGTTTAATAAGCGTTTCACCGATAGTGTGCGGTTTTTTTTGTTGTGCAATTAATTTTGCAACAAGGTAGCTTGCTTCTAATGCCTTTTCAGAAACCGTAACCGCCGATTTCATAAACTGCTTTTGTTTCTTATTTTGATCCAAGCGCCGTTGGAAAAATTGAATGTCTTTTTTGACGCAACTGGGATGATTTGTGATCAAATGACGGTTTAGTTTGCTGGGTACCATTGCTTCATTTGACAACTGTTCACCGCAAATGACGCATTCAGGCTTTGGAGCCGCTTCGTCGCCACACCAAGTGAAACCATATCGAAGGTAGTCTTGATTGTACTTCCTTTTCAGCACCTTTTTTGCTCTTTTTGCAGCACTTATGCTGGAGCTTGTGCTAGGTTCTTCGTCATCTGCTCGTGATTTCAGCAAAAATTTATCCATATTTGAAGCACTATAGTTATTTATAAAAGTAGATACTGCAACAAAACTTAGTCCAGTTCACTTATTTATAAGGCACAAGAATTTATTTATATAGCAATTCACTATTTATTTCACTCTACGATTTATTTGTTTGCCCGCGTATTTATCTGATTCACTTGACTATTCGACTCTCTCTGAGTCTCTGAGCGACGACAGGCGCGCTTATATAGGCAGTGGCGATGTTCAGGAAAACATCGAGTCGCGCCTCGAACGGCACGGATCTTTCTAGTTTAGTCGCCTTCGAGAATCAAGCCGCCGCGCCGCGCCGATAGACGGATAGACGTTTACCATCGGCGCTGTTGTCAGATTGCTTTATTTTTCGCGGGTCTCGCTACAATACGAATCTGATTCGTATTGTCTGCAAGAGCGGCACACCTCAAGTCGGCTTACGGCACACCAGTGTGCCGCGGCACACCGGTTGCGGAGCACTGGATAGATAACGGAAGTTCTTACAATGACCTTGCAACATTTATTGACGGATTAACATATTAACTGGATTTACAGTTTCTATAGAATCAGCGAATTCAAATAATTGAGATAAAATAAAGAGGAGAATGCTATGACGATGCTAAAGTATCCGCACGTGTGCATTCAACTTTGAAGTCATATGTTAGTTTTGGTGAAAATAAATGCATTTTTTTAAATATCTTCAATTTAACGATATAAAATTATTTTCAGTCCGTCAGTTTTCAAACATAAAATTACTGACTTCAAATAAATCAAAGTACGCCATTTTCATTACATTTTTTGGTCACTCGAAGTGCTTCCATCTGTCACATCGCAAAATAGTGTTTATGTCATCTCTACCTTATTCTACCTCGATGGCTACAAATGGACCAAGAGATCTAGATATCGATCCTGCTGTGTTCGGATTATGGAATATAGATAGAAGGAAAACTATCCCCTTAAACAAAAAGTATCCCTTAAAATGTATAAAATTAAGATAGCGCTTCTGTATCAGAGGGACGCCGACAGTCGATAATTCATATCACACAATGACAGTAATGATGTATATAGTTATATATTATATTGCTTACCCATATGTATGGAGTATAGAGGTATAAAGGTATAGCCTAAAAACTACATCATAAAAAACCATCTTGAAAGCGACTGAGCTTATAATCGTAGAAAAATTTTGATAATAGACAAAAATAGTACATTCGTCTTCTGAATTAAATATAGGTGAGCAATCTGTATAAATCATTGGATCTTTCCCTTCTAGTATACGAGTGCCATCTTAATTTTATACGTTTTGGGGAACACTTTTTGAGATAAACAACCGTATAAGATTGTCCTCCTTTCCTTTATACTCCAGAGTTCGGATCAATGTTCGAATAGAGATTTTTAATTGACTGAGATCCACATGTCTATTTAAATTCATCGGATTCATACAGTACTAGTACGAAGTATAAAAGACAAAATTTTAGTATTTAATTTTACAAAAATACTTATTTTCTTATAATTATTAATATTCCATTTGTGGTATATTTTTAGGCACTGGTAGCAATGAACTACCTAATGTTCAAAGAGAATGTAGGCTCGTTTCCCGAAACTCAAAAGAAGGAGAATGTCCTGAAGATTTAACAGGTGGTGACCGAAGCAGAGTGATTGATTTCTGCGGTACTTGTGATTTTGACGGGTGCAATACAGCCACAGGAATTAAAACTAACGTTATTTTGGCTATAGTACCTGTTGTAATTTTATATCTATTTCAGAAATAATATTTTCCTTTTGTATATTTAACGTTGTTGTAAAGTTTAGTTACCTTAAAGTCGTGAACTGAATAATTGTATATTCAACAAAACAATTAGTTGTAAGAAATGTATTATTTTAAATTAATTGTATTAATAAACAGATTTGTATACATCGTATTTATTTCATGTTTAAAAAATGAAGACAGACTGGATGTAGCAAATTATCCAATATATTTAATTTATAATGTTATAAAAGTTTGAATTTAGGAAGAGACGGTGTACGGAAGACACAATTGCTTTATTATCTGGTAAAATATATGAACTTGACACTGTAAGTCATTCTCAGATGTTGAACACTCTGGAAGCTCTTGGAATGCGAGGAACGCCCTTGAAACTTTTTGAAAGCTATCTCACAAACCGAAAACAATTTATCGAAATTGGTACTAAATCTACTTTATAAATATGTTTTGTTTTATTTACTTTTCTATTCTCTTTAACTCATTTTCTCCATCTCTCTCTAATTATTGTATGAAACCTTTAATCATATCTATGCTCAACGCAGAGAATTCAAAGTACTGTTTTTTTTCTAGAAGAAACCGCTTTTTTGTCACTTTCGCCGATTGTGAGCATTTTTACCAATAAAGCTAGTTTAGTTTGAATCTCGTTTCATTAAACATCCATTATTTAAGATAAGTGTAGCAAATTTGGTAGAACAAGGTGTTCCACAAGGTACGGTATTTGTATTAGTGTTATTTTCTATATATTTGAATAATCTCTTTTTGATAAACTCGGTGGGGGGAATAATTATATATTTTGCAGATGACAATCTTATAAAATGCACAAAGTTGGAAGGAGGTTAGAAAAATTGCGCAGGCAGATCTTTTATATCTATTATATAAAATAAAATATCCATCCCAAGTACTTTCTTAACAACATGCTCTTCTATGCACTTGTAGAAAGTCGTCTTTCCTATGGTATTTTAGGATGTGGAAAAGTGCCTTTTTATCTGAAAACACTATAAAAGGATTTTTAAATATAATATTTAAAAAAGAACCTACTTATCCGTCTTCTGCCCTTTAGATAGTGGAAGTCATAGATAATAGGTAAGTGCATTTTCTAAGAGTATAGTGATTTACAAATATAAACATTCAAATAACTATTATTATGTACCATCTATTCAACTTAAACTCAAGTAATGCGTAAACATTACTAGCCCCGTAACCACAGTGAAAAAATACCGGTGTTACTTCCGAATATTTCTTTGGTAAAAATGTTCTGTAGCATATGTCGCTGGTGTTAGAAGAATTGGGTTCTTTTGTAGAAATAACTAACGGTTGATTCCATTTGGATATAATAATTTTCTTTTCTTCACTAAACAGTTTTAAATATTTACAATTTTAGTTCATCACAATTTGATTAACTAATACAGGTGATTTTTTAGTTACCAACTTGAAAACATTTGTTTGTAGAATTTCTTATGCCATAATAATTGTAGAAGATATAACTTTCACCAGAAAATAAAATGCATTAAACGCTTGTAAAAATGTAGAAAGTAACGTGCCGTCGTCGGCAGAAAGCACCTGGCAAAGACAACTGTGAGCGATGATGGCAAAAAGACAACTGAACTCGTTGGTGGCAATAAGACAACTGAACTCGTTGGTGGCAATAAGACAACTACTGAATGCCGTTCGCGTCGAGCTCACCCTAATATATACTGTTGGGCCGAAATGAGTGTCCGGGGCATAGTTGACGCACCTATTCGGTTTCAACCAATGAAAACATCATGACATAATGAAATACGTCATTTGTGCTTCGTTAACTATGCGCCGGACACTCATTTTGTTCCAATGCACCGCTGTGCAACTAAAAACACAGGTGTTCGACGTTCGGTATTCTGAGAAAAATGCTATTTATAGTTTTATGACTTCACATTATATTAGGGTAAAAAGCAGTCGAACTATTTAAGAATTGTTTATTTATTTAGTAGATGTAAAATATTAATTTGTTGATGTTTTTACTGGTGAAATTGTAGAATTTAACCATACTGGCGCGCGCAACACAAAGGAAAACAACATTGAATGATGATAAATTAAAATGAATAACAATGATAAAAATATCTTGGAAAAAACTCGAAGGACCAGCCAGTGTTATCGCACTGACACGATGTATGAATAACAAAGTTTAGTTTCTCAGGTGTTTGTTGCGCAAGCCACGCATGATTTCAAACATAGGTATGACAGATTCATAAAACGAAAACCAAGTTGATAAATAATAAGTAAGAAAAAATAAAGGAAAAATGGCGTAAGGTTATTGACCAGGTCACTCGCGAATCTATCCCAGATCAAGATCCTAGCGTTTTCTTTCGTGGAGCATTTGGATTCGACCTAATCCAACTGCGTATTTAACAACCTTATGCGAAAGTAGGTACCTAACTTAAAATCTAAAGCTCTGTGTTGGGCACAAGGGACAATTAAACAATTGGTCTCACGCAGACTCCATCTTGGGTTTTGATGCGCACTGAGCGTGATTTGCCATCCTTTCCAGGGATCAACTCCAATATCCTTGCCAAAGGCCACTTTAATGGAGGGTGTCATCTTCCCTTAACAATACTAAATCGTTGATTTTGAATTCAGATGTAGGCTCCATCCATTTGGGCCTGTTCTGTAACCTGTTAAGGTAATCGACTTTCCATCGGTTCCAAAACTGTTGTTGTAACTTTGAGCATTGTTGCCAAAATTTAAGGCGATTGGAAGGCATCTCGGCGAGATTTTTTTCTGGAAAGGACATCAAAGGTGCGCCTATAAGAAAATGTCCTGGTGTAAGTGAGTTGAGATCTGAAGGATCGTTTGATAAGGGGCAAAGCGGCCTACTATTCAAGATGGCTTCTATCTGTGAGAACACAGTTGATAGTTGTTCAAAGGTGAAAATAGTTTCCCATGAGCCTAACAAGGTGGTATTTTGCACTTTTTATTGCAGATTCCCACAATCCACCCCAAAGTGGTGAATGTGGAGGAATGAACTTCCACTCTGATTCAGTGGCAAGAAGGTAAGACTGGATTGATTTCATATTATCGTCATTAACTAGAAATTGATGAAGATCTCTGAGCTGATTTTTGGCTCCTTGAAAATTTGTGGCATTGTCACTGTAAATGAGTGTTGGGCACCCTCGACGGGCAATTAGGCGTTTTAACGCTGCTTAAAAGGCTTCGGTGGGGTCAGAAACTAGCTCTAAATGAACAGCCTTTGTGACCATGCATACAAATAGCAAAAGGTAACATTTTTGAATAGGGGCCTTCTTTAAAGTAGAAGACTTAATGAGGAAAGGTCCTCCGAAGTCGACGCCCACCCTTTGAAATGGTCGAGCCTGAGTAATACGATAAGAGGGGAGATCTGCCATGATTTGAAAATGTTTCTGAGCATGAAATTTATGACAAGTTGTGCATTTGGAAATAATTCGTTTTATTTCTCGCAAGCCATCTAGTGGCCAGTAACGCAATCTAACATTTGAAAGAACATTTTGAAGGCTACTGTGACCCAAACGGATGTGGTTTGATTTGAGAATTAGAGATGTGATCTTGCATTTACTTGGCAATAGGATAGGGTGCTTCTGGTCATAAGGTAAGTCAGCGTGCTTAAGCCTTCCTCCTACTCGAATTAAATTTTGTTTGTCTATAAAAAGGTTTAATGATCGTATTTGTTTATTTGCTAAGGGCTTTTGTAAACCAGTAATTTCTGTACTAAAATAACTGGATTGAATTTTAGATAAAATGAATTTTAACGAATTATCAATTTCACTAGTATTAAGGGCTCCTGTCATTTTTTCACCTGGGTGGCGTACATTGTGCAAAAAACGAAACAAATATGCGAAAGATCGGACAAGTTTGGAAAAAGAATTGAACGTATCGAAGGTGGTGACCCAGGGGTCAGGGGTGACGCGTACAGTTTGAAGAACTGTCTTTTTTGATTCTGGGAGAACTGTAACTAATTTAAAAGTATCAAGTTGATCAAAATTGGTGTGATTTTCTTTAAGAAATTGTGGCCCACTGAACCAGAACTCAAGCTTGTCTTTTTGAAAATGTCCTCGAGACAGCAAATCTGCAGGATTTTTTTCGGATCTTACATGCCTCCAATGAAAATCGTTGGTAAGTTCTTGGATTTGGGATACACGGTTGCTGACGAAAACTGACCATCGAGAAGGATGTCCCCTTACCCAAGACGGAGCAATGTGTGAATCTATCCACAAATTGACAGAGTTAAAATGAATCTTTGTTTTCAAATTTTGAATGATTCGAGATACCAACCTGGACAACAACACCATTGACGACAGTTCTAATTTTGGGATGGTAAGTATTTTACTAATGGGTGCTACCCTTGATTTTGACGTGAGCAATGAACAATGTATCGAATTATCCGAATAAACTGATCGTACATAAATGTTACAACCATAGGCGACGGAACTAGCGTCACAAAATGCATGAAGTTCGACACGTGAAACTTCTTTGTTTAACATTACTTGTCTAGGGATCGTTACATCATGCAGAACAGTTAAATTCTTACAAAACTCGCTCCATTCTTGTAATACCTTTTGATCTTGGATGATTTCATCCCACCCTAATTTTAATAACCAAAGCTGCTGCATGATCAACTTGCCGTGAGCAAGCAAGGGGTTGACCAACCCTAACGGATCAAAACAGCTTGAAATTGTTGATAAAATTATGCGTTTAGTAAGTTGCTGTGTAGGAAGGGATGAAGGAGTGGATATTTGAAGGGAATCTGAATTGGGATCCCATTTGAGACCTAGTATCTTGCAAGGAGCATCCTCTAGGTTAAGATCTTTTACTTCGGAAGTCTGATCTGATTTTGATAATTTTACATTTGAACAAAATTTGTGTAGTTCGAAACATTGAATTAATTCATTTTTTAGTTGTTTAATTTCATCGATGGTATTTGCACCAGCTAAAATGTCGTCGACATAAGTTTGTTCAAGGATGTGGGTTTTGAAAAGCAATTTCGTTTAAAACACGACAAGCAACGTAAGGAGCACTCTTTTGCCCAAAACTAACAGATGTTAACTCAATGCATTGGAGTGGTTCGGTTGGTGAATTT